GGGGAAAGGATAGTGTTCTCACTAAAAGATATTGGAAAAGGTGGATATCCAAGGGCAAGAATGAGTGGAACCTTTACCTAGCATCATATACAAAAATTAACCCACAATAGATCAGATATCTAAATGTAAGAGCAAAATCTATACAGCTCTTAGAAGAAAACATAGGATAAAAACTTCATGATATTGCATTTCACAATGATTTCTTGGTTGTAACAACAAAAGCATAGGCAACAAATAAAATGGATAAATTGGCCTTCATAAAAATCAAAACGTTTTATATATCGAAGAACATTGTCAAGAGAGTAAGAAGGCAACCCACGAAATGAGAAAAATATTTGCAAATTATAAGTGTGATAAGAAATTAATTTCCAGAATACACAAAAAACTACAAGTTAAAAACAGCAAACATCCAAAAACACAATTGCAAAATGAACCAAGGATTAAAATAGAGTTTTCTCCAAGGAAGATATACAAATATCCGATAAGCCCAAGCAAAGCTCCTCAGCATCACGAATACTTAGAGACATGCAAATCAAAACCACAATGTGACACCACCTCATACACCTTAGGATGGCTTTGATAAACAACAACAATGACAGCAACACAAAACGACAAGTATTTTCAAATAGACAGAAAAGTTGGAGCTCTAGTGCATTGCTGATGGGAATGGGAAATGTTATAGCCACTGTAAAAAGTGGTGTGGCTGTTTCTCAAAAATTTAAACAATAAATTACCATTCGACCCAGCAATTCCACTTCTGGACATACTCCCTATAGAATTGAAAGAAATGTGAACAAATATTTGCACATTGATGTTCAGAGAAGCATTACACACAATAGCTAAAAATGGAAACAATGGAAAAGTCCATTGAAAGATAAGTGGGTAGGGAAATGAGATATATCTATACATCGAAATGTTATTCAACCTTAACAAGCAATAAAATTCCAATACATCGTGCAAAGTGAATGAACGTTGAAGACATTATGCTAACTGAAATAAGCCAGACACGAAAGGATAATTATTCTATAATTCCATTTATAAAATAGAATAGCCAGTTATATAGAGACAGAAAGTAGAATGGTATGTGCTAAGGGTTAGGGGGAGAAGGAGTGAGAGTTACTGTTTATTGGGTACAGAGGTTTAATATGGTAAAAGGAAAAAGTTCTGGAAATTGATACTGTGATGGTTACACAACACTAAATTGCACACTTAGAAAT